ACGCATTCCGTTCACGTTCACGTGGCTGACAAACGAAACTAAACATACAAACTTAATAAATACATTAAATAGTTTTTACTTTACTGTCCTTTTGTTCAAATCAGGGTTTCTCACATTTTACAACAGAAACACCAAAAAATATTAATTAATATATCATTTTATTGTAGTTTATTGTTACAGGATATTTTATTCTATTGTATTTAAATGCACCTTGCTGCTATGACGACCTATTTTCCCTCTGGGATTAATAAAGTCTATCTTATCTCCTATCTATCTCTCTATCTCTCTCTCTCTCTTCTCTCTCTCTCTCTCTACAGCTCTCTATAAGCTAAACTGATCTACGTACACATTATGTACATTTGATCAGACCCTCCAATAGACTGGGACACCAGTTGTTACACCAAATGTCTGCTATGAAAAAGGGCCAATGCACTGAACAACTCTCGGACTGCACATTGTGTACATTTAATTCCTTTAAAATGCAGGTTTACACACATTTCTGGTAATGTGTCCACCTTGAATCAGTTGATCTATAAAAGGTCAGAGAAGGATCGAAGTCAAAGATATTCAATTATCAGAAACTAGCAGCAAATCCTCACATTTAAGAAGCTGGAACAATTAAATATTCTTCTAATTTTAGTTTAAATAATCTAAATAATCTAAAAAAAAATCTTGTTATGTTTTCTTATTTTATATCTAATTGTACTTTTACTTGGTGAATTAAGTTTCTTTCAAACGTTAATGTCACTAATCAATACCAAATATTAGCTGGTTATAGCTTCTACAAAGTAAAGACTGCCCATCTTTCCATCATTATTCTTCATTTACTTTATATATTCTACAGATTTACTCTTACAGAAGTCACTAGATTTATCTTAATTAGCAAATTACACACATATATATATATATATCTCCTATATTTACTGTATCCTTTGTCAAAAACACTCTTCTGCAACCATTTCCAGACTCTTTGACCTCTGTCTGACCCTGAACGCACCACGAGTGCAGCTTCTCCTTATGTGGTTAAAGATAAAGTTCATCGTCAGGTCGCAGCTGTGAGACCTAAAGTTAAAGCAGGAAGTCTGTAACACAACAGGCCAGGCTGACTGAAAGTGACCAAAGCAATTTGTTTTATAAAGAATATAAAATAGTGAATATGTTTGTTATATTAAATATTTGATTTTATATATGCTTTTATGCTTCTTTTCAGTGCTGTGGAATGAAAATACATTACTATCTACCATGATGCAATTTCAAAATAAAGTCTGTAATATTGATATAACGTTAGTTTGACTGCCTACAAAATAAAGTCTGTAATATAGATTTAGTTTGACTCTGTTGTGTTAACAGGAACTCTTTCAAGGGCTTTTAAATGACTTTTTATTAGTTTATGTTTAACATTATATAGTACCGCGTTAGTTCCTGACATTAATATCACTGTGAAACAACATGAAGCTGAAGGAGTATTAAGTTAGCTTTAGATAACTCTAACCAACGGTAAAATAAACAGTTTATAAGGTTATATTTATGGATATAGTTTATGGGACAGGCCCAAAACAGATTAGAGAAGTAAGATGTTGACATGTGAGACAGGCAGGGATCGGTTCACGTCGCCTGTCTACTAAATATACTAAAAAATACTAAAAATAAATCCATATGACTGTAATTAGATACGACATGGAGCCGTTAACGTCTTGACCGTTGGTTTTTCGACCGTTGGTTTTTTAACCGTTGGTGTTAACCGACGTTCGTCCTCCTCCCGCCTCACAGGCACGAAGACAGTGAACTTACCGCTTACAGCTGGATCCAAATTCAACCACAACAGTGGCAAGAACAGAAATATCCAGGCTGTTGGTGGATTCATGGCGCCTACACGACAAAACTTATCCGATAAAAGAGTAAAATAACAACCGCTCCGGACGAGAGAAGTGTGGCCTGCTGCTCCGGAACACACTGTGAGATAATCAGCCAATCAGATAATTCAGAACCGGGTCGCTAGACTGGTTGCTAGGCAGATTACAACTAGAGAGGTTTGTGTAAGAGGGCAGTAAGTGTTATTACATAAAGGGCGGGTTCAGTGTACATTACCGTCAGTGGTGGAGGAAGTGTTCACATTATATTCAGTGGTTCCCAACATTTTACCTTAAAGCTGCAGTTGGTAGCTTTTATATCAAAACATTGTAACGTTTTGTCTTATTTGCTGAAACTTTAACAGTTTCCTCCTGATGCATTTGTGAGAATCCACCTTACCTGGAAGGAAACAACCAATCAGAGCACTCTGTTCCCAACCTTTTTCCTCTCCTGGCCTAATTTTCTATCATTTGTTTATCATTTATACTGACTAAATTACATATTTTATGGATATTACATATAAATCTCACACGGTGAACTCGAAAACCAGAGATCTGGAGGAATTTTGAGCAGATTATTTCCTGTTTATACAATTTTCTATTCTGTATTCTATTATGTATTTTTTATAATTTTGAAAAACATAATTTGCTTCTTTTTTCCCCCCCCAATTTTTGTGTTTTCTTGTCCCTGGCTATTGTTAGATTACACAATTTACTTAACTTTACATTTACATTTCGTCTTTCTAGACCTACAGTGTATATTTTTAAAGTAGATTTTTCTCTCAGACTATCTGTCTCGTACACTACTGTCGGGATATAGTGAAAGTTTCAGCAAATATGACAAAAAAAAGCTACAAAAATAAGATAAAATTTGTTGGTAGAATCCCATTGTCTGAATAGTTGGCTGTAGGACAAGGGATAAAAATGGTGTGCAGTCCCATACAAAGTGGGACACCTGGTCACCCTAATAACAATAACAGTAAAGAACAACTCATACAATTAACCCAAATAGTGAACAGGAAGTTTTGGTAAAACGAATTGGAGCAGATTATTTCCTGTGAGCATCAAAGACGAGTTTTCCTGATATTTTTAGGCACTTTTTCAAAAATTCTCCTGTTCTATTAGCGCTGTAGTTGTTTTAAGTTTTCTAATGTAGGCCGAGTTCATCATAATAATCTAAACTTTAAAGATCAATATTTCATCTAGTTTTCTTCACATAAATTAAACAAAATTATGAAGCACATGTGACCCCAGTTGAGGCCCCGACGTCCAGGTTGGCAGCTATGACTTGAAACAATGCTGACTACTTTCAAATCCAAGCTGTTTATTTTAATGAATGTAATCATTTTAATCATTTGTTAGTTTGTTTTATTGATTGTCTGTATAATTTTATTGTTTTTATATGTCCTTTTGCTTGCTTCTATTGTTTTTATCATTTGTTTCTTGTTTTGTTTGTGCTTTTGCTCGTAAACTCTGTAAAGCACTTAGAGTTGTCTCGCCTTTGTCCACAGGGGGCGCCAGAATCAACACAAAATGAAAGTTACTTGTTGCTGCTGTCTGTAAAAGTACATCAGCCTCTGTAAGTGTAATCAGGAAAATGTACCAGAGCCCAGAACTAGCAAATGTTTTGATAATTGTTTGTCAGTTTTCATGTAAAAACACTTCCCAAATCTGAGGATTTGCTGCTTTTTGTTTAATAATGTCGTTCTGTAGTAACTTTGAGGTTTGGACTGTTGGTTCGAGCATTGTGAAGATATCACTTTGGGCTCTGGAACTTCTCACTGTTCTCAAAATTTTTACAAACCAAACAGTCAATAAATCCAATCAAACATCAGTTGCAGTCCGAAATAAGTTCCACCTCAAACAGTAAAATCCTGCTTTTACATTAATAAACGAGTCAGAATAATCTAATGACATCATATATAATACTACAACAGTCACAGGGGACATTTTTATTTTTTTAATTTAAGTACTTTGTCCTGATTACATACTTTTACAGCGTGATATTAGTATGTTTACTGTAGTAAATGATCTGAATACTTCTTCCTTGTTTTGTCTGATGACACTTAAAGGAATCAAACCATCAACCCCAAAATCTGTGTTGAGAGTTTAGTGTTACAGTCTGCGCCTCCCAACTCTTTATTCATTGCTTATATCCAAGCCAGACAAATTAACACATGTACAAACGCCTACTTCCGGTATATATCTATGTACATTTATTATTACACTCGTTACTTTAACATTTACATCCACTTTTCCAGTCGATAAGTGAACATTCATTTCTGTACATCCAATCACTAAAAAATAAGTCTCTTGCTGCTTTCTTTGTGCTCAGAGGATTAAAACACTGGGAGAAAGTCTTTTTTAAATATTATTTCTTTATTTTCTTCCTCCTGTTCTATCAAATTTCCTCAAACTAAAGTGCAACCTGCCCTAAACCTTGTGCTGCTTCTTATTTTCAAAGCAGTGATTCACTGGGCAACTTTTCCAGCAATGTTTGGTTGCCGTGACTTATTTAAATACTGTGCATCGCTGTGTATTGCCTGTTGCTGGAAGCCATCTTTGCTGCCTAGAAAATTGCTGAGTGTATCACCACCCTCACATGGAAAGAAGCCTGTTTCAGTTTCACCCTCTTTATCTCCCATCATCTTCGCTCCCTGTTGAGACCCTCTCCTCATCACTTCCACTTATTCTCTTCTGTGCTCCCCCTCCCTTCATTCATCCATCCCCTGTCAGTCCATCTTTTCCTCCCGAAGCGGAAACCGAATCCTCCTTTCTCCCGGCTGACAGCTTGGAGTCCTCCAGCGAAGGAGGTCAGAGCTTCATTCCTCTTCCCTCCATCCTCCCCCTCTCCTCCCTCCTGATAGTGTGCGCCCTCCAGAGAGTGACCCCGGGGGAAGGGCGACAGCGGCTGGCCCACCAGGTCTCCTCTCTGGGCCCTCAGCAGTATTTCCTCCTCCCATGGCAGATCCTCCCCCTCCTCCTCCTCCTCAACTCCTCCTTCCTAACCTCCTCCTCCTCCTCCTGCTCCTCCTCCTCCCCAGGCTCCAGCTGGGCCGGCCAGGGGTCTTGAGGCCACTCGGCCCACGCGTCAGGCTGGACGAGCCAATCGTGTGTCGGTTCGTCCAGAGCAGCCTGGAGGTGCAGCAGGGCGGTCTCCAGGTCAGGTACGTCCATGGCAGGCAGGAGGGCGGTAGGGGAGTGGGGGTACGATGTGACGGTCCGTGGGGCGGGGCAGAGGAGGGTGAGGGAGAGGAGGGTGAGCTGTGAGGCACCGAGATGGAAAGAAAGTCTCATCTGAAAAAATAAAGAAGTAGTTTAACTGTGGATATATCAAAATACACAAAGTGAGATGTGAATGATGGGGCTTAATTTATATATCTGTACATTTATATATATGTCTGCAGTCAGATTGTTGCAGCTTAATATGTCTGATTTCATAGCCGATTTTCTAATGTCTTGTTTTCCAAAATATGTTTTTCTTGTATTCCATTAAACTTTAATTAAGCAGGGTCCCAATTAGAAGCAGGTCTCATTTACTAGCCTGGTGTGGCTACACATTTTGACACATTAATGGCATTTCTTAATTAGAGGCCTGGTCTGGATTTTATAGAAGTTCTTTGGATGTTTAAAACCTCTTTTGTCGTTAGATTCTCCACAATTTAATAATTTGGTTCATTTTACAGAAACCCTGAAAACACATCTTCATAAAACAAGGATGTAGCAAGCAGTGTAGTAGCTACTGGTGAGTCGCTGCTAACCTAGTCGGTAGCCAAGCTAAAATGGAGCCGCAAGATATTCAGCCATTCCCGTCTCGTTTGGGTGCACTTTTGATTCTACAATCTCCTGGGGAGAAAGAGGTTGACATGTCTCGTTCGATGTTGAAGACTTTCTGAGCTTGCGGCGGACTGGAGGAGATCTTGAAATCAGCACCCCAGGTACTGAATCATGACACCAAGAAACAAAATAATTCAGATTGTAAGATACCTAAAGACTCACACCTATAGTAATTTGGTGGCTTATGGCTCAAAGTTTTGCACAGAGGACTGCTATGATTGGTGAAACTTGCAGGAAAACACAATGATTAGTCAAAGTTACGGAAAATATGTGGTTCTTGGACAAAATTGCACGGTTGCACAGAAATCACAGGGACTGGTTGAATTTGAGTTAACTGTTGTGATCACAACTTCCTGAAGAGACTGATGAGGGCAAATCTTTATGCAGGAGTCATCTAAATATAGTTACAATTGTGCACAAGAGTTCCACCATGAGCAAGCACTTGGTTACGGCGGCAAGGAAAAACTTCCTTTTAAGAGCCAGAAACCTCGGACAGACCCCTCGGCTCTAGGTGGGTGGTCGTCTGTCTCGACCAATGAGTTGTCTGCAAATATAACCCAAATTTGGAGAGGATTGGATAAAATCTGTAGGACAAATCTAAAAAAACTGTTTCAAAAGTATCTGTTTAGGTTTTTTCACCTTCAGGTTCAGGAGCCATAACAACAATTTGCCCCATTGCCAAACTTTCCACCAAATTTCATTCAAATCTGTTTTTTGAGATATTCTGCCAACAAGTAACAAACAAGTCCAAAATCAATAAACATGAGTTGCCTGATTATCTGCCAACTCAGCTACAATCACAATAAAGTCTAGAACATTTCGAATAAAATAAAAATTTTCTCATGTTATTCTCAAACAATCAAAACCAGCATTGGTTTGTAACACAATACAGTAATAACATTACTTTCCCCACTAACAACAGTTATTCCCCAAAAAATAACTCATTACAACCTTACTTTTGTTATCACCCCCCCACCACCGATCGGAAAACCAATCACATCCACAGATTCATTTCTGTAGTCTTTCATGTCACCAAGCACTAAAATATTACCATTAGTTTGATTTTAACAAACAAACCTGGATTTTATGTGTGCACTTTGTCAAAAAGTACCTGTGTCTGGAAAAATCCAATTGTATACAAGTTTATGGAAATGTATCCAGATCTGTATAACATATCATATTAAATTATACATATTATCAACCGATGTATCAATTGTATGTATTAAACTATGAAGTACAGATTTTTTTTGTTTGTAAAAATTAAAGATTCAAGTTTTTCTAAAGAAGAAAAGTAACCTATCATTATCATTAGTTTATTTAAAAACTCAAGAGTTTAACTTGAAAATTTAGTGAACAGTTGCCTTGAAATTATGAGTTTTCTTAACTTATTTTCTCTTCTGCAAAAATGCATCACTAAGAAACCTCTTGTAAATTTGGTCGTTTTTTGGAAGAGGAGGCTGCAGTGGAGTGTTAAACCAAAATATCCATTGAACATATTAAAAGAAATATAGACAGGTAGCACTAACGAAACAACTGCTTCCGCTTTTTGGCACAGAGCCTTCGTCAGAGTTTTTTGTGATGGGAGCCAAATAAAGAAGTGAAATGTGAATATTTTGCCCTCCTTGACTTAAAAATTGAGCTACCCTTCCATAATTATGTAATATTTTTTGGATCCTGTCATTAACACTTTCTCAGAAGTGAAAAAATATACAAAAGAACCCAAAACTTGGAGAAATTATTAACTTTATCTTTTAGCACCAACACATGAGAAAGTCAAACAGAAGAAAATTCAGATTAGTTGCGTCCCAAATTCTCGCCTTACCTTGCGTCGTCCAACTTGCTGTATCTTCTCCGACATTTGTCGCCTCTGACCTTTTTAAAACCTGCCTGCCCTCCGTCCTCCCACCCCGCCGCACTCAGGTCACAGGCTGCTGTCACCCATTGGTCCCTCATCCCTCTGACGCACGCAAAATCAACCGTCATAACCTTCATTCTTTCAGCTGAGAAACCTTGCTGTAATTATCGCCAATTCCTTGATTGGGGAGGCAATTCACAAAGAGGAAGCAGCCAATTCATTAAGATGCTTCTGAGGACAGAAAGTCTCCAGGAGAAAGAGAGAGAGAGAAGGGGAGGAGGACGCGGTGAGTGGATGGCACGGAGAGAAAGACGAGGGGCAGTTTGCAGTTTCTTTTGTCATCGTTGTCGTCATGAAGGTCGTCTCGCTGGGAAAACGCAGAAACACCAGAAAGAATGTCTGTCAGGGTTTGAGGTATTGACAAACCATCAGTCACTCAAACGACGCTTTCCAACTAATTTACCACAAAATTATATGACAAAGGATCTGCAGGCCTCGTCTGGGTGTTTTATTCTGTAATGACTTCCACCTTTGGGCTATTTTAGGATGCTCTTTGTATTTGTATCAGGACAGATGAAGGCTGGAGGAGCAGACTGAAAATTCTGGTTTATTCTAACTTATTTTGGTAGTTGTGTCCATTATCAACAGCTGGGAACTCGATCTCTAAAATGAGGTCAAGAAACACGAGCAGTCAGACGAGCAGACAATCAAAATAACAGTTCGTATAGTAACAGTATAGACCAACTGTTTAGTTCTAGGAGATTAAATGATTACTAATGCACAGGAACTGTTTCAGAGTAAACTTACTATTGAGTGTCATGTTTGGTGTCCTGATTTCTCTCTGCAGTCAGATTTTAAACAACTAAAAAACGGCTGCAACTAATGATTATTTTCATTCTGGTTTAATCTGTTGATTACTTCATAGACTAAAGGAACCCTGAGTTTCTGACCAATAGTAGCACTATGGAGCAATATGTGGGAGTGGGTCGCTGTTTTGTTTGTTCTCATTAAGTGGCAACCTTCATGGCCAACATGGAAGTATTAAAAACCGCAGTTCCTCTAACGGCCACTAGAGGCCGGCTCCATCAGTGAGTCAGTCTCCATAAGGAGATCCCATATAAAAATGTCCAATGTTTACAGCCTGGTACAAAGAACGATTTTGGTGTTTCCCCGTTCATGACAATTGCACTGATGGTGACGTTTTGCACAACTCACCTATTTGAGCTATATTAAGTAATAATTATAATTATTATAATAATTATAATTAAGGGCATAGCCACTTTTTCTTTGACCATTTCTGGATTAGCCAGGAGCCGGCGGAATTAAAATTAAAAAAGTTTGTTAGACCTCAGATATACACAGTATGTGTCTGTAAGAAACACTGAATGTAAAACTCAACGGGGCACCTTCACTCAATGAACTGTTTAATATATAAATAAATATAAATGTGAAAAAGTAGGAAAATGTCCAAAGTGATGTCTTCAGTTTTTTTCTGTTTTGATCAACAAAAATATTTCAAACACAAAAGACAAAGAAAAGTATAAAATCCTCACACTATGAGACTAAAGGGATTATTTGATTAGCTGCCAGTTCATTTTCTGTTGATCAGCTAATCATTTAAACTTTATGTGTAATGTGCGTTGAGGATGAGCCACTAAGTGTGCTGCACAAAGAGGAAACTTGTTGGAAGGAAACATTGAAAACAGTTGAAGGTTTATTCACCATTCAAGTGTCACACAGAAAGCTCCAGTCATACAGGAATCATCTGATTTCAATGGATGTCCGACTGTTTCAGTATGTGTTTGTTGTTCTTAACATTTGGAAAGTTTCTTAAAGAAAAGGTCCATATGCTAGACTTTTCCTGAGCTTTCACTCTCTCATCTCACAGACTTCATCAGCAAATGATGGCTAGTTAGCCAGGGATTACCTACAGAATAAAATGCTTGCTAACTAAATAACTGATCTACATCTTCTACATTAATCATTACCTAGCTCGTTACATCATAGCTAATCTTAATGCAAAACGCAAGCTAATTTGCTAACAATTGATGTAGATTAGTTAGCTAGTTAGCTAGCACATAGCATATCTAAGTACAGGAAAGGAGAAAGTTGATGGATGTTCAAAAAGGGGCGGGACTTGGGAAGAGTAATTACAGTTAAAGTGGCTGAATACAAGGCTCATGAAGTAACGTGATGTAGAGTCAGGACCAAACAGACAAATAATTTGTTTTATTATTGAATAATCTATCAATACGTTTAAAATAATGTGTTTATTGTATGTTTTCAGAGTCCAAAGTGACATTTTATAACCTGAGCAATAATTCTACATTTGCAATATCATCACAACCTTTTAACGTTAATCATCCTTCGATACATTTCACTGGTTAAAATACAACATTGAGGTGTGATTATGCCGCATAACACAGTGTACATCAGTTATTTTCTTTGTAATTTTGCATTAATTTGCCATATTGTGAAAATATCTTTCAGTCAGTTTCAATTTCAGTTTGTCTAACAGTCCCAAAAGAAGTCTATTATACAGTGACATGACCAGTCAGGTACTGGTTGTAGTGCTTAGTTTGATTCATAGTTAAATTTGAATCACACAACAACAGAGTTATAACATTTGTTAAAGTTATAATCCTTAAGATTTTAAATAAAAAAACTATTTATAGTCAGATTTTTTTATGATTTATATTGTGTAATTACCTCTCTATGTAATAGTTTTAATTGTCAGTGGTGGAGTCCGCCACATTGCCTTCTAAACACACAAGAGGAGTCACAGGAAACTATGCAGCATGTGATCCAGAGTTACTGTTTGTAATTTGAGCTCACTGACATCAGCCTCACTGTTTACTGTTCTCTGTCCTACACACATATCAGATTGGATTCATTTACTGCTGATGTTAACATTTTCTGCTACTGTTGCTTCAAATTTAAAGCTGAAATCTTAAGGATCATAATCTTAACTATTCTCTCATTTTAAAAGTTGCTCACATTGTAGAAGCAGACCCCTCGACTAACAGTAGTGTGGTCTAAAAGAACTATCAGCGTCAACTTCTCCCTCTGCGCCTCCTCCTGCCTCTCCAAAGTCCTCGTAGGCCTCCAGAGAGGAGGTACACCCTGGTGCACTCTGGGAATCGTAGTCCAGGAAGAAGGCGGGGTGTTGCAGCTGATGTGACTGGCTGAGGGCCGGACTCACCGGTGGGTCGCTGAGCGGGGCGGTGAGCAGGGAGAGCTGCAGCTGGTCGATGGTGCTGGTGGGGAAGGGCTGTGATTGGTCGGGCGGGGAGCAGGCCGAGGACGGGGAGCCAGTCGCCACGGTTATGCCTCTCGGGGGAGCAGAGGGCGAGTTGGCTTGAGATTCGTCTGTGGTAATCGAACGTCTCAGTTTGGCCCGAGCATTTTGAAACCACACCTGTGTGTGAGTGAAAGAAGAACTTGAAGATATTTGTTAATTAAGATTAAATTAGGATTCATTTTCTAAATTACATTTTGTTTCTATATGTGTGTAAACATATGTATGTACATATATGTACGCATCTTTCTTGTAAAGAACTCAAATTGTACTGGTATTGTCATCTCATGGTAGGGCCACTTCAGTACTACAAGAAAGCTCAGTATTCTGAAAATTTCCTATTACTACAGACTTAAAAGTAAAATAAAACTAGTTTCTAAATTATATTTTTTATTTTTTATCATCTTTGTGCCAAACGAAATACATTTTTAAAAATCTAATTGTGTTTTTATTTTAATTGTACAAAAAGAGGGAGTTTAAATGTATATGAAACAACTACAAAAGTAATAAATAATAATATCTTGCAGGCCAGACTGTAGAGGAGACTATGGAGGGCTGGAAATGGCCTGTGAGCCGGCGGTTTGGTACTTTTCTTGTATGTGTAGAGTGGAGGCTATAACTGCATTTCAGTGTGTAATTCTGTATTATTTAACAAAAACAAAGCTGAATCTTGAGAATAACAATGTAAATACAATGTTTGGACATCTGTGTGGTTAGTGGCTGCATCCTTTTAAGAAGCTCTAACTATAGTGAGCTCCATTATGATTATATCATAATGATTCAGAAGTGCTGAAATGAAAAGTCAACAGACCTTTTTCACAGCAGCCTTTCTGGCATGAACTAGTAGGGTAAACAGTAGTTACCAATGACACTAATTAAGTTTCTGTTAAAACCATTTATATGACCAATCAAACCTAAAATCTGCATCATCACTCATGTTTCGTACCTGCAGGACTCTCTTGGGGAGGCCGGTCTTGTGAGCGAGGCAGGTCCAGTCTTTGCCGTCAGGGTTGTGCTTCTGGGCGAAATACGACTCCAGCGCTCTGAGCTGCTCGCTGCGGAAGCATGTCCTGATTCTCTTTGTCCGCCTGCGAGTCCGCCCAACCGTCCTTCTGTTGTCTAATCGTGGCTCAGGACTGCTGACAGACTCCTCCCCTTCACCTGAGACCTGGTTTTGAGCTGTTCCACACACACACACACACACACACACACACACACACACACACGGAGAGGAGTGTTTTGATAGCTAAAGGTCTCGTTTTTAGCCTCTTTTAGCTCCTAGTTTTGGTTTCGAGGCACATTTCCTGTCTGGTTCAGTGCTGATCATGAATGATGCATTTATGTATAAAAACAAAATAGACACACAAAAACAGCTCTCACTTTCTTTCAGATTTGCTTCGGGTGGGACATCGTGTGATAGCGGGACACTCCCGTTGCCATGGTAATGGGACTGACAGTAGAGGTTCTGGCCCTGCATGCAGTATAGGTTCCCTGGTATTAATTTCACATCACACTCCTGCAAAACATTTTAATTATCATACAAATATCTGCGTGTAAGATATGATAGTAGTTGCATATAGATATGTACAAGTACAGGTATTAGCTTGTTTGCACAGGATTTCTATGAGGTGTGAAAGCTAGGAATGGAAGCTTGGAAGTGAAAAGCAGAATGGAGCAGAATGGAGGAGAGTCTGTGCTCTGCTAGTTTGAACAATATTAGAGAGGAAGGTACAAACTGAAAATCACAATATGTTGGACCTTCAGAGGAGCAATTTTTCTTATCTGAATTTAAAGACTTTCCGACAGGGATTTGATGTTGTTATTTGCCTCTCTTCAAAGACACCAAACTACTTTGATAAAAACCTCACTGAACACAGGAGTTGCCGGTCTACTGCTGTCTTTAGCGGTTCGTTTGTTAAAACACCAAAGTCAGTCTGGTGGCTTTGAGAGAGCATAAATGAATATAATGGCTTCAGTTCCCCGTCGGAAAGGGTTGTCTGACTGCAAGGTAAAGTGATGAAAATATTCTAAAGGCTACGTTTTGCCGATGCCCTTTGTTTTCACAAACAAAGCAGACATTTTAAGAGTTCACGCGACAGGAACGCAATGACCTGACGTCATGTGCAAACAACTATTAAATGTTCAATGATTATGTTGATGATATTGCGTGTTATGTCTCGATTGTAATCCATGGAGAGACAGTAATCCAACCCAGTTTATTTGGTTTGTTTTGTGATGTGTCATAATGTTTCTGACCTGGCAGGAGAAGCAGTGAGGATGGAAGGTCAGCTCACCAGACCTCATGACCAAAGCAGAAGCTGGGATTGGCTGGAAGCAGCGGGCGCACTGACCTCCTCCAAACATCCTGACCATGAAGAGAAATCAAACAGAGTCAGATGTCAGGATATGTCAGCAAAAAACACAAGTTTAATCCCAGAAAATTAAATTTGAACAAATCTGGACCAGTGTGTAACATTTAGGAGGAGGCCGTGGGTCGCCTTCCATGAAGTCCACCGGGTTGAACCTCCATGTTTCTACAGTAGCTTAGTAGGGACCAAACAAACACTGTCTGTAGATAGAGCCGAATCTGGACTCAGGAAGTTTCTCTATTGTCTCTTTGCCATTGGTCTCGCCAAATATTCTAGTTGGTCTCGACCAAGTTTTGATTATCGACTAGTCCTGATCTTGGACCTCTTGGACACGACAAAGGTGGTCTTAGCTGAAGCACTGTTTCGCGGCCACCATAGTTTCTCCTTTGCACTTGGAAGGGAAGGGTGAAGCAGCTTCACCTCTAGATGTCTTTAAATCCTACACACTGGACCTTTAAAGGGACATTCTGACATTCTGGGAGACAAAGAGAAGGACGTTTCGGACCTGCAGTAGTCTTGTTGGCAGTAGATGTTTCCGTCTCTCCAGTACAGTGAGGGGTGTGTCTGCAGCTCGCACTGACATTGGCTGCAGCGGAGGCAGACGCTGTGCCACACCCTGCCTGCAGCCAATAGGAAGAAGCGGTCGCACACCTGCTCCCCACAGCCGGCACACATCATTGGCTCCTGGACGGACATGGCTGTCGGCGTCTGAGACAGATTGACAAACAGATTTATTTCACAATACTGAAGAGGGGGATTTTAAACCAAATCCAACCAACTAAAGATCAATCTCTCTTTATACCACCTGAAATTATTCAAAAATATCTTCAGTCGGAAAACAACACTTGTTGGTGGCAGCAGTACTTCAGTCTGTAGGGAACCAGAGGGTTGCCGGTAGCTGGAGAGGCACCAGTTGAGATAAGACACCTTTTTTGCATAAGTATAGTATGGTGTGGCCTGTGTTGTATTCACTAAATTACTAGAAAGTTTGTACTGAAACGTCCGAGTATTTAGCTGATGTTGTAGGACAGGCAGAGGATGAAATAAGAGTCTATTTTGTGTGAACAATAATAAAAATAATGACTCTTATGGTCTGAAAAATGTTTAAAAGATTGCAATTTTTTTGTAATGTTTTATTGTCTTCATGCTCACATTGTCTGCAGCAACACTTTCCTCCAGCCCTGCCGGGCCGCTGCCCAGCTCCACCTCCTCCGCCTCGTCACCAAGGTCACTGCAGTACAACAGGTCCTCCAGGGCTCGGTCGTCTGGTGACATCATGATTGTCCTGAGAAGGTGCAGGCAGTAATTATCAGTCCACTCTGTAATCACAGCCCTCATTAGAGAGCTAAAAACAGACTCATTTAACGTCTATATTAATAAACAACAACACAGACCCAAACTGTAACACAAATGTGACACAGTAGTAAATGGGAGGACTTTTCAATGACTTTCAAGGTTCTGGTGAAATATACAGACACACAAACGTAATCAATTATATCACATTGCACCCATTTTGACATCATCACTGTCTCTTTTAGAAGCGATTTTAAAATGTATCACTAGATTAAAAGGCTGTGAATATAAATAAAATGTATTATTATTATTATTATTTGAATAATCCCTTTCAGCCACTGCCTCAGGTCATTGAACACAACAGCATTAAATGAACCAACAATTAAGACAAATAAGTCTGGCTGCATTTTCTTATTATAGACTGTGGAGGAAGAATCTCAAGACTTCTCTTTTTTAAGAAGGTTTTTTGCTTATTTTATTGAAATATTTGATTAATTTTGTTTTTATTTGATTTATTTTTACATGCAGTATAATATATGGAGGACCAAAACTGCCTAAAAAATATAAATAAATAAATGACTCAGTAAATAAATTGATATGTCATTAAATGCAATCTATAATAATCTCCAGGCTTTGGAGGAGGTTATATAATGAGTCTGCAGCTAATCTTGCATACTACATGTAAAACTGCATGCTGAAATATGACAACAGCTTAGAAAATAGTGTGGCTCTGAATTTTATGAGAAAACAAATTAGTCAAGAATTAGGTTTGGGGAAACAATAGCTGAGTTTTCTGATGACAGTTAAACCACCATGTTTCTACAGTAGCCCAGAATAGACAAACTGGCCCTAGATAGGGTTGTTCAGAGGGAGTTGCAATCTGCAACTAAACCACTAGGTGCTACAAAATCCTACTGGAACTTTAATTAAAAAAAGGTAAATAAATACAGAAGCAAATTGAAACCGAATTATCAATTTATGTCAAATATGATGAATTAATTAGTTATTTTGGTGACTTTACTTTTGATTTTGGCAATTTCATTCCTCCATAATTGCAAATGACAACAAATAACAATTAGAATAAGAGTAAAGGTAGATAAAAGATACAAATTCAGAGATAACAAGTATTAAAAAGTGTATATTTTCATACATAAAAATGTATTTAATTATAACACAGTTATAAAGCAAATGATATTACAGCTGCAACTCTGTTTTTTAATGTTATGACTTTCTATTTTCTCTGTTTTATTTTATTGAAAATTTAATATCTTTGGGTTTTGGACTGTTGGTTAAACAAGATGTTTAAAGATGGACTTCTGGGAAAAGGTGATTGACATTTTTCACCATTTTGTGACATTTTAGATATAAAACAATTGATCAATTAATTGAAATAACTGTTGCAGCCTGAAACTATACTTTATAATACCGTATATAATTTTGATCACGCTTGAATATGCAGTAAGTAAGACTCAAATCTTTGACCTTTTTTTATACAAATAAGGAAATGAAAAAGACCTTACCTGTCTTTAAGAGACTCCTGGTTGGTTTCCACTGAGCGTGCTCTGTATGAACCCTTCAAACAACACAGCCCTTTAAAAAGCAGATATTTTCTCCGCGTTGTGTCTGTCCTGAAGGTCTCCCTGTTTAACCCTCTCACTGCTCCAGGTGTCCCTGCACCCCCCTGTCTTGTGGTTTTGGGATCAGTTTCCCTCTGTGAGAGCACTGATCTGGGATCTGCTTCCATCTCATCCTCCACCAATCACAGTCCCAGCATCTGGACTGATGATCAGCACCTGTCCCTCCCACCTCGCCGTCCGGTCCCCGGTGACGCACAGACACACACCTGTAAACAAGAGGCCCAGGTGGCTCAGTGAGCAGGTAAGGAGTGATGTGTTTGGCTGCCTGGTGAGCAGATGGGTGGGGGGACTGCACCCCAGGGACCAATTAAAAAAAACAAAGGGTGTTTAAAAAGACATCTGGGATCTGCAGTCGAGGATGAAAAGACAACGGCTTGATCCCTCGGCTGCGTTTGGATCAAACTGTTTCCTGCTGTTTACCTGAGAAAAGAGACAAAATGAGATTAAATCTTTGCTTGTTTACAGAATGAGACATCAGGTGCATAAGAAAAAGAAATATTCCTGTTTATTCACCAAATAAATTGACTTTAAACCCATTAAAATATTTTATGACAACAACAAATGGGAACAAATGTGTTGCTCTGAATCAAAAAAAGTTTTAAAATGTTCATTATAATGACATAGACTGTTGTCTCTCTATTTAAATATATGACAAAAGGAACTTTAATATCTTGAAGTTCCACCAGAAGTTGGATAAATGTTCTTTACTGGCCATTACTCGCTCATCGTCCTCCTGGCCAGCTGAATGTTTCGAGGCCTCGATGGCTGAAAAAATTATGCAAAGTGCCAGAAACTGCAGTTCCTCTAACGGCCACTAGAGGCTGGCTCCAGCAGTGAGTCAATTTCCATAAGGCCCCATTATTAGAATGATAATTTTTATTATTACATAAAACTGAGATTAAAAAGTCAGAAAAGTAATAAAAAAAAGGTAAAATGTCAAATTATGAGATAGAAAGTTGGATAAAAATATGTGACTTTTTATCTCATAATTATAACTACCATGGGATATTTTTTTCATCAGGCAATTTTATCTTTCTCATTTTATTATTATATTGCAGAAAAGGGCTTCCATTACTTTACAAACTGACAGCAATCAATAAATCAAATCCTTCAGAAAAACTGCCCTCTTACCTTCCTACCTGCCGGCCTCCACACTACTCTGCGCAGTTCTGCAGTGAGTTATTCATCAGCTGATACCAACAAAAGCACAATGCAGCGTTCATTTATCAACATTGTATTTTGTATTCTTTTAGGGGGGAATCATTAAAAGAAAATAAAAACACGAGAGATTCACAAAAACCCAGAGGGACTAAACACTGAGAGACGGTCTGCAGCTGAACCACACAAGTACAAACAAAAGTTCATCACTCACCTGCTTCTCCCTCAGGCGTGTACCCAGCATAGACTGTCTACTGAAGGGCACAGGCCATCTGATATATCTTACAGTGAACATCAGGGGGCACTGGCGAGCTTTAAAGCAGCTAAAGAAAAGTGCTTCTGGCAGGCCTCAGAAATACAAACCAGATCCTCTGTTGGTGTCATTTCAGTTAACATTTTACAAGACAAATTGCTACAAGACAAATAAAGCCCACAGATAATCCAAATTACGTCAATACAAAGCTGGTCATTATTTCCTGAAATTTTTACCGCATGCAACTGTTTTTATTTACATCAAATACAAGAAAAAGCCAAACAGAAAGTCACCTCTGAGTTGCAACCTGAAGACATAAACTGATTAAAGTGCTGCAACATCAGCTACATTATGCCTGTAAAAGTGTCCTGTCGTGGGCGAATTCAGAGGTGGGCTGCTGCCCCAGTTTGGTGTTCAAATTTAATACATAATTTAGATTTAAGATAAAGTTTAAAACAGAAATTTATTTGATCTTTTTATTGCCACATTTAGACTCAAGTGACGCCTCAAGTTCAAAAAAGGTTTTGTAAAAAAGTCTTAACATTTGAAATAAAACAATGTATGATTTCTAATGTCACTTTAGATATTCAGTTCAATCATTTAATGTGCCACAATAATGTTTTTGATAAAAAAATCCAATTTGGATATTCAAAATGTGCAGAATTTGGTAATGGACAAAATTGAAAGTCGGATTTTTGACTGCCGATCTGGACAGTTCCGGTTTTTCTTCTGGCTGCTGTTGAATACATGGGTGGTTCAACATGCGACTTGGACTTCTAAAGTAAAAAAAAAAACACAACGATTCTGTTTCGGGTGATTATTACACTAATAAAACTAACCATGAATAGTAATTCAATCCTGCCTATAGATCCTTTTAAATTGTTACATAAGGACCTTAAATCGATATATTTCTGCACCCATGAATATTTCTCCAAATCCACCGTCCGGTCGGTGGTGGTGTGAAGTTCAGGATTATCTCAGAATATCGGCATGAAACAGAAAAGGAAATGCGTTTTTTGTAATGTGGGTGAACGACCCTTTAAATACAGGAGAGACTGGTAGTAACCTCTTTAAAGAGGAGAAATAAGATCAAACGTACAATCTACAGTAACTAATACTGATAACTGACCTCTAATACAAATGAAAAAAATACGTCTCATCTTCTGAAGTGAGAGCGGAGGCTACCCTGTTAAAATATGAGTGCGTGTGTTGGTGTGTGTGTGTTTGCACAGTATTGAACACACTGTTCCTTGCGTGTGTTTAAACACGTTCATTATCTCTGGTCTCTCCCTGCATCCCTTGTCGGAGGACTGAAGGGCTGCTGGTCCATCTCATCTATGAAGAGGAAAACAATTTTCCTTATCCAGGTGGTCCAGATCACACCCGGACACACACACACACACACACACACACACACACAGACACACAACACACAGGAACACCACACACACAGACACACACAGAGAGAGACAGGCAGTTCATTATTTTCTGAACCAGGGAAATAGGGTCAACTGTAATTTAAAAAGTACCTAGTAACTGAAGCTGTTGTTTGCTAATGTCAGCAAAAGATTACCCAGCTAACGATTGATGTAGATTAGCCAGCGAGTCAGCTAGCCTTTTGCTAACATTAGCTAACTAAACATGTGACTATATACTGTATATGTCACTTTTATCTTTGAACCATCATCAAAACTTGGTTTGTTTCAACATAGACAACCCTATCGTAGCAGGAAGAAAGTTTGCCGAGGTCCCAAAACTGGGCGGGACTTAGGAAGGGTCCTTTGTAATATGAAAAGTAACTAGTAACTAAAGCTGTCAGACAAATGTAGTAGAATAAGAAAAACAATATTTGCCTCTGAGATGTAAAAAAAGCACAAGAGAATGATTTAGTTGCCTTACAGGGCTTCCGTAATAAACATATTCATTACAAAAAAAGGAAGGTTTGTTACCTGGTGTTTGACGTCGATGCCATAGAGGCCGTTGAGGTTCGCCTCGTGGCAGTTCTTGTACCACCAGCCTCCTCGGTACGACATGGCGCAGCGGGTGATAAACGGCGCCGGGTCCCGGTCTTTGGTGGAGAAGACCCGGTTGTTGTGATAACTGAGAGAATCACCTGAAACCACGAACAGGGAGGAAACAAAAAGGAGCAGTCCTAAAGTTCAAAATGGAGAAATCACCAGAAAGTCGCTGGTTTCCTTCAGGAGGTATTACAGGAACTCATTTTATATTTTCAGTCACCTGCAGTGCCGCTGTATCCGCCTACAGTCAGTTTGTAGTTCCTCTTGGCCACCTCGAACGTTGAGTATTTAGCGAACACCGACTGGTCTCTGTCTCGCAGGTCGACACGCAGAATCATCTGGGTCATCGTCGTCAGGTTGTGGAGGCTATCGAGACCTGAAGCAGCAACAGACAGATCGATTTCACACAAACTCGACTTTCTTGCTTCAGATTTATGTTGTGTGGTTTAAGATGAACTTTTCAAAGGTGTTTGGAATATAAATAAGTTAAAAATCCGAGGAAAAATGAGGTACATGTATTTTACTTGAGTATTTACATTTTATGTTACTTCTACTCCACTATACAGGCAAATATTGTAGTTTTTACTTCACAGCAAATAACTAATTTTTAATTATTATTACACATTAAGCTGCCCAGCAGTGTACAAAGCTCCACCTTTACCAGTTGTAAATATTCCTTTGGTGAGTTTTATTTTGTCTCTGTCCACTTAGATTTATCTGCAAAGTAAAATGACTGTTTTTGTCTATTTTGCAAATAATTACACATCTAACTTGGTGAATTAAGTTGAGTTAATTGACAAAACCATTGTTGGACAAACAGTGGAAAGACTAACAAGACAGTTTTGATGAGTTTTATTGTTTCTGTACAGTTGTGTTTTATGAATATCTGTGGGGTAAAATGTTTTTTTTTTTGTCAATGGAACCTGGTGGGCCGTAGTGCCCATTGTTTTGTTCTAACATGCTGGTGTTTGAGTGCAACATCTAGTGAATGAACCTTTAAGTGTATTTTGATGATAATACTTTTGTATTTTACTCAAGTAAGATTTTGAATGCAGGACAGACATATACTGTATATATCACTGTTATCTTTTAACCATCTTCAGAATTTGGTGATGTTCCAACATAGACAACCCTAGCGTAGCTTTTTTAAGTACCCAGGTCCCAAAAAGGGGCGGGACTTACGAAGGGTTCTTTGTAATCTGAGAAGTAACTAGTAACTAAAGCTGTTAAATCAATGTAGTGGACTAAAAAGTACAATATTTGCCTTTGAGATATAGTGGAGTAAAAGTTGTATGAAATGGAAAATACCTTGAATTTGTACTTCAGTAGAGTACATTGAGTGTCAGTAGTGTATTCAGACTGTGTCAGTATGATGGACAGTGTCTCACCCAGCCAAAACTCTCCACTCAGATCCCCAAATCCTTTAATGTACTCCTTCCACCCTCTGAAGAAATCCACCGAGCCGTCTTTCCTCCTCTGAAAGACCTGCAGACAGTAAAGACACAGACCAGGTTCCACACAGAAAAACCTTCATATAACCTGAGACTACAGGCTAAGGACCGTCTCACTGATTCATTGATGTCCCCGTACCGTCCAGCCTCCTCCGTCTGTCTCCATGTCGCAGTAGACCATCATCGGCGTCCCGTGTTTCCCTTGAGGGAAGATCTCCACCTCACCTGACGTCCTGATGCTGTTCAGCAGCTCCTGAGAGCAGTCTGTGGGGAACGGGAACCTCAGGGTGCCTGAGGAAGACAACGGAGGAGGACTTTAACTCTCTATCAGTTAATCGCCACGACAACGATGTAACGTGTAAGCAGCGGTTACCGGTGGTGAACTCCGTGGAGATGGCAGTAGTGTATCGTCCTCCTCCTTCTGCCTGTAGCTGCACCGTGTACTTGGACCCGGGGTGGAGTCTGGTCAGGTTGTACTCGGTTACTGAGGCGCCCACAATGACTTCCTGTGAAGGAAACAGGAAGACAAGAGACGGTTCTCCACTAAGTGATTTAGAGTTTTAATGACCATTAATTACAAGACATTAAAAACAAAAAAACATGAATTTATTCAGCAAATTTAAAAGTAAAGAAATGATCAGCATAAACTTCTATTATAATTTTGGTGATTAATCATTTCTCATTAAAGAAATGTATATATATAAATAAATAGTTGTTTGAGGACTAAAGAGGGAAAAGTATCTAAAGTCTGTTAATTTATACCGATTTGTGTATCAGAACTTTGTTGTTTCCCCTTTCCTCTGCCATTCATCCATCTCACATTTTACTTGAAGGATAAGAGTAGTAATGAAATGTAAGTGAAAAAACACTCTTCTCACCTTCATTTCTTGACCTTCAGTCTGATAGGTGAGTCTGTAGCTGCCTGCAGGATTTGAGAGTGGTTTCCATGACAACAGGGCGGTGCGAGGGGTCACATTGCTGGCCTGGAGATCTCGTGGCCCGTCCCCATCCCTCCCAGAGCCTGGAGAGGAAGAGTAGAGTTATTCTAGTTATCCTCAGCAAACGTTAGGTCTTATCTTCTTTGTGTAGTTCCCCAACTTAGCTCGACCTAAACACGTTTTTTTAATGTATATCTGATTATTTTCTCCATTAATCGATTGATTAATGGTTTGCAAACATTTTTAAAATAGTTAAAAATCACATCACAGTTACCCAGAGCCCAAAGTGACATCTTAATAAAGCAAGATCATTATCAACCATTATCTGAATGGGGTTAAATTAAAAGCAGCAAATCTGCTTTTCATTTTGACATTAAAAAGAACTTATTATCAAAATAGTTACCAATTAATTTTCTGTCAGTTGATTAAAAAAATCGAAAAATCGTTTTTGGTGTATAAAACATGTATAAACATTATGTTATAAACTCTTCACATTATTTGTCTTAATCTTAACTTGTCAAGTAACTAAAGCTGTCAGATGTAGTGGAGTAGTAGTAGAAAGTGGCATGAAAAGAAAAAAAATATGTAAATGTACTTAATTACAATATAAACTTTAATTAATGTCCATAAAAATGATGATTCCACTCACAGCTGTTAAAGATGACTGACAGGCAACATGCAGTCCTACAGTTTGAACTAATCTGTGTGTGTGTGTGTGT